CAATGATACACAATAACAACAGCTAGTGTTGCTTCTGGATTTCATAGAGAGTTTGAACCTTTCACCCTTTTAAAAATATCAGTGTTTCATGCTCCACATGAACTCCGGAGACACACAGGAGAGAAAGAAGGGCATGCGACAATGGAGGTGGGAATGGGAGTGATGCGGCTGCAGGTGGAGAACAGAGAGCGATGACAGCGGTCTGAGGCAAAGGACAAGAAACGGGAGGCTTCTTCCCTGCAGCCTCCAGCGGGAATGTGACCCTGATGATCCTCACTTCAGACTTCTAACCTCCAGAACTGTGTGTGGCCATGAACTCACTGACTCAAGGCACACAATTCGCGGTTCTCGGAAACAGACCAGGGGCTCTGGTAGCACAGCGTGCTGGGCTATTTACAGAAAGGTCAGAGGTTTGACTCCACCAGCTGCTCTGTGAGAGAAAGATGGGTAGTCTCTTTCCACATGAATTTTCAGCCTTGTAGACACAATGGATCGACTTGACTTCATTGGTGAGCAAACGTGGGTCTGTCCAGCATCATCTGAGAGCTCCACATAAGCGCACTGCCAGCGGACAATGACCTGCCTTTCAGTGGACCAAATCACATTGAAGTTACCTATTTTGTGTCAAATCTTACACCAATATACCTGCTTCCCATTATATGTAGTCTTTCAAGAGCAGACGTTCTATTTCCCTGGCTTAACAGCTCCCCGAGGTCTTGTTGGGTGCAGACATCCACAAAATGCAGCACCCTTGTTCCATCATTTGATCTTAACCACAGAGCCAAAGTTGAGGAAGGTGGTGCCCATTATACAGACAAGCAAATTAAGGCTTAGAGAGGTTTGGTGACTTGATCAAAGCCAAGTAGTAAATAAAGAGGGTGAGTTGAAATCCAGTTCCGTGAGACTGCAGCGTCTCATTCTGAAATAGCTGCCTCTCGGATGACACATACGGGGTGAACTTGGACGTGTTCTGCATGATTCATCGTCCCGAGAGTGATTGCCAGCTGTGGGGCTCAGTTGTGACACAGACATCTATCCTTGCCAGTAAGAGGGTGGTTCTTAATGACTGGGCTATCTTCTGTATCTTCCCTAGCAGCCACCACTGTTTACTGTTCTCTAAACCAGCTACTGCTTCATCCTTTTAGTTTCTCATGTACTTGAGCTGACCTGTTCTAGACAAAAGCCCAGGTGAGATTTTATCCAAAACAAACTCTAAGAAAGGAGCACTGAATGAACTGCTGAGAGTTTGATGCTCATTGATGTCTCTCATGTGCTACACTCTGACCAGGGATGTTTCATGTGATCTCCTAGGATACCAAGGATGAATCAACTATTACTCAACCCATTACACAGATGAGGAAGGTGAAGGTCGAGGCAAGCTTCCAGCTGCCATTCTCTCTCTTTCTTCAATTTGTTCAGGTTCCTTGACTTGGCCCCCATGTTAGGCTACCTCTATAGATTTCTGAGGGCATGTAGCTTTTTTCTTTGGGGCCCCCACTTTAATTCCCTTACATGATAAGTCAATGCTCCTCATTCTATAACAACGGAAGCCTAGAAGGGTCTCTTGTGGCTCAAATTTGGCAACAGAAGCTGCTGTGTTTTCAGCTCTGGTGTCAATAGTTGAGGTTTTAGATAAGTAACCACCAAGAAAGCTTACTGTGACTGCCAGGGGTGGTTGTCATATGATTGTAAACTTGATCAAACTCTTGTAGCAATTATTGCCAAGGAGCTCCTGTTGAAAATGTCTGCTAGTTCCAAATAGATGTGTCTTTAGGGGTCAAAGCAATCGCCTATGTTTCTGACATAGTGTTGGCCCTCCTAGATGCTGACTGGTCTGGAGGGCTGGAAAAAGAGAGTCTCTGAGGTGGGGAGATTGACAATGATGAGTCCCAGGAGGCACTCATCCCAGACAAGGACGGATAGACGTGGCTGGTTCACAGGTGAACCTGTCGGCTAGCTGTTTGAGACAAGCAGCTGTTTTTAAGAAAAGAAACTTGTATTATGTGGGCTACTACATGTATGTGGACTGTGAAGAGAAGAAGAATATCCTGAGAAAAGAGGAGATGAAATGGGACAACCCAGTGCACACCCCAAAGCATTCTCCCCTAAATTTCATTTTAGTCTACATAAGCTTTAATTTGAGGGCAAATGTTAAGAGAATCCAAATTCTCTCACCCTCTCAGCCACTGACAAGGGTCCATCTGGTCTTGCATTTGCATCTGGGGGACCTCCGAGGGAGTAACTGTAGATGAAATAAATGACTGTAAATATTCTTTCTGCTCAAAAGCCCTTAAATTCTTTGTGTTTTCTGAAACGCTGTGTAGTTGGGTAACAGGCAAGAAAAGGAAAGTCTTCTAATGAGGGAACCCATGAATTAAGTCTCAGATCAAACATCTAATCTGCCAGCCTGCTTTAACCACAATTTACAGAAAGGAGAAAGAAAGAAAGAAAGAAAGAAAGAAGAAGAAAAAAAAAAACTACCCTTTGATAATTGTTTCCCCTCAGTATTACATTTGTTCATTCGAACCCCGCCCTCAGTCAGATGAAACTGAGCATTTCCTACTTTTCTGCTGTCTATATGTTTGATTTGCACAGCTCAGCTGGCCAGACGAGCTGAGACATCCGTCTCCCCTACGAGAAACCCTCCCCGGTAAGTTAGGTTGGGGTTTCTTCATCTCTTAGTTAGCTCAGCTTTTATGGTGAATAGAAAACTTGGACAGGAAGCCCAGAAAAGACATATGACAACTAGCAGGTGTTTCAAGAACTATCTGAAAATGTAAACTTTTCAGATAAGGGCAAGGTTAGAACTTGGAGTGATTTTCAGTCTGAGATTATATCAGAGGTATAGAACGTGACTGAATGAAGGAAAAGTATAGAAAATGGGGGAAAGACTCCCTCACCTCTCAGAAGAAAGATTTTCAGAGAGTTGAGTCTGGTTTGGGCTGCAATCCTGGGCAAAATTCTCTTCTGCTAAAGAGGAGATTAAAATCCCCCACCACCATGGGATACCATCTGAAGGCCGGCACAAGACGAAGTCTTGGCTAAATCTGTCTCCTCCTTGTTTTCCTAGAAAAAGAGAAAGCTTTCTATTTGCCCAAGATCATATCACATTACAAAAAAAAGGCCTTTTTATTATATATCAGTTCCACAGTGCATTTTGTATATGATTCTTTATCTGGCTCAGAATTTAAGTGATTTTTCTCTTCTTGGTGTTTGCGCCCCAGTTGCCTCATCTAAAGGCAAGAGCAGTTTGAGATTCACGAGGAATGGTTAGAGATAAATCTCAGCTGAAGTGACATTTCTACAGACTGGCCAGGACTGCTGGCCACAAAAGAAGCTGACGGAGAGGGATGACACTTGTCTGGGGTGACAGATAAGAAGGCTTTTCACTTGCCCATCTCAGTGTATTTTTAAGGGCTATTATTACAAATCATTAAGTAGAGAGTCAGCAAAAGAGAAGATGACCCTCACTAGCAAGGACTGCAGCGGGGACTGCAGGAACGGGCTTGAGCAGGGTGGGGGTTGTGAGGCTGGGGCAGGATGGGGCAAGTTTTGGATCTGCTGTTCATGGGTCGCTATGAGTCAGTGTCGACTTAATGGCCCCTAACAGGCACAGACCACTAACTGGCATTGCAGGGACGAATGAGGCATGAAGCCTAGAGAAAAGGGAGGGCTGGCACTGGGGATCTTCTCTGACTTCCCTGGGGGGATCGGGCATTGGTCCATTTTTTTTGAGTGCCAGGTCCCGGACTGAAAGGCAAAAGCCACGTGGTGGGGAAGACCGTGGGCTGCCTGGGCTCAGAATAGGTTGCTGACTCGCTGTGTGGCTTTGAGCAAGTACCTCAACCTCTCTGCGCTTGGGGGTTGTCAGCAGAGCTTGTTCCTAAAGTGGAAACAATGATGAATGGTACCTGCCCCACAGGGTGGCCCTGAGGCCCAGATGAACGGACGCAGTGATGTTCAGAACAGAAACCATGTCCTGGGCAACACTAATGACAGGAAGTCCTCAGACCCTCATTGCAGCTCTGTGCCACCGACCTCTAGGGAAGTCCAGATAGCAAGGAGGTGGGACTGCACTTACCTGACTCAGTGGCTTGAAATTGTCATCTAAGTATCATTGCGCATTTCTATAAGAACAAGCCAAACACCAAACTCAATTGCCATTGAGTGGATTCCCCCTCATAACGACTTGTCATCAAGTTTCTGCGGTTACAAATCTTTATGGGAGGAGGGGCTGTTCATCTTTCTCCCAAGGACCGATTGGTGAGCTCGAACCACCGACCTGGGCTGTAGCAGCTCGACACACAATCCACTATACCATCAGGACTCCTGATGGGAATCCAGAGGGTTAGACTGAGGGAGCCGACGCTTTCACGGTTTCCCCACCAGGCCAAGCTCTCTGCTGGGCATCACAGGGAAGCTAGCCATAGACCTTCCGACAACTGCCCAAGTTGAGCCTTTGGTCCAAAAAGGGAGACTAATGAAACATAGAAATCAACATACTATCTTGAAAACAGAATGTATAAAGAGCTTTGTATTCACAATGGGCCTCTAAAGTCCCCCAAATCTGTTGCTTCCACTGAGTTCATTCCAACTCATATCGACCCTATGTATTTCTGAGTAGGGTCTTGGTGGTGGTACATAATCTGACAGATGGCAGCTAACTTTCTTCTGTGGTGCTGCTGGGAGTGTTCGATCCACCAATCTTCAGGTCAGCAGAGAGGCGCACATTCGTAATGCTGTGGGTTGGTGTTGGGTGCATTCTGACGCTTGGTGAACAGACCTCCGCTGAGTAGAGCTGCTTTGTGCATGGTTTTTCCAAAGCTGTGAATTGTCAGAAGCCGGGCTCCCAGTCTCTCTTTCACTCAGTGGCTAGGTTCAAACCACCAACCCATCAGTGAGTAGTCTGGGGCTTCCCTGCACCACTCAAGAACTGCTCTCCGCATTCTAGCACTTTGTAAAAGGCGATTTTTCTTCATTCACAGGGTTGAGTGAGCAAAATGGATTTTGAAACCTCTCCTACTCCTGACAGCTATTACTACGACCAGGCGGAGCCCTGTCAAAAAACCGACGTGAGGCAAATCGCAGCCCGCATCCTGCCCCCGCTCTACTCGCTGGTCTTCATATTTGGCTTCGTGGGCAACTTGCTGGTCGTCCTCACCCTGATAAACTGCAAGAAGCTGAAGAGCATGACCGACATCTACCTGCTCAACCTGGCCGTCTCGGACCTCCTCTTCCTCCTCACCCTCCCGTTCTGGGCCCACTATGCCACAGACGGCTGGGTCTTCGGGGAAGCGGCCTGCAGACTCTTCACCGGGCTGTACCACACTGGTTACTTCGGTGGCATCTTCTTCATCATCCTCCTGACGGTTGACAGGTACCTGGCGATCGTCCATGCTGTGTTTGCCTTAAAAGCCAGGACGGTCACCTTCGGGGTAGTGACCAGCGTGGTCACCTGGGTGGTGGCTGTGTTTGCCTCTCTCCCAAGTATCATCTTTACCAGATCCCAGAAAGAAGTTTCTCGATTGACATGCAGCCCTCATTTTCAATCTAGTCAACACCATTTCTGGAAGAACTTCCTGGCCTTAAAGATCACCATACTGGGCCTGGTCCTGCCGCTGCTGGTCATGGTCGTCTGCTACTCGGGAATCCTCAAAACCCTGCTCCGCTGTCGAAACGAGAAGAAGAAGCTCAAGGCCGTGAGGCTCATCTTCACCATCATGATCATCTACTTCCTGTTCTGGACTCCCTACACCGTCGTCCTGGTCCTCACCACCTTCCCGGGCCCCTTTGGCCTGGACAACTGCGAGAGCTCCAACAGGCTGGACCAAGCCATGCAGGTGACGGAGACTCTGGGCATGACGCATTGCTGCATCAACCCCATCATCTACGCCTTCGTGGGGGAGAAGTTCAGGAGGTACATGGCCTTGTTCTTCCGAAGGCACATCGCCAAATACCTCTGCAAGCAGTGTGGGCTCTTCCAGCGGGAGACCCCGGAGCGAGGGAGCTCCGTTTACACTCGATCCACCGGGGATCAGGACCTCTCGGCGGGCTTGTGAGCTGAGGGCATTACGCACAGAGGCGGCTCAGTAATTCACTGCCCGCGTGTGGGAAAGAGTCGTTCGGATGGAAAGTCACTGCCATGAAGGGCCTTGGAGTCATCATCTCTCTGACATCTATTTTGCCAGTATTAAATATGTTAAGCCCACTCATTCCAGAAACTCAAAGCCCAGCAAGCCCACTGCCATCCAGTCAGTCTTGACTCTTGCTGACCCTACAGGGCAGAGGGGAACTGCCCCACTGGATTTGCAAGGCTGTGTGTTCTTCATGGAAGCTGACTGCGCCATCTTTCTCACAAGGAGTGGCTGGGGGATTTGAACTCCTGACCTTTCCATCAGCAGCACAGTCTTTAACTACTGCACAACCAGGAGCTTCTCATTTGAAAAGCTCTAGGCAAGATTTGCTGATGGAAGAGCAACCATTAAGTCCTCACATACGCCTGGTGATTGGCAGACTCTTCCTTCAAATACAAGCAGAACAAAAAGTCTTACAGATGCTAATCCTTGAGAGGGAATACCTAAACAAAAACAAGAACATTAATAAAGACATATATTATAGCGGTTCCTACCTCGGGCGAGCCAGGGTACAGGTTGTAAATGTCCTTCTTGTGCCTCGGAGGAGAAATGTGATTATTAAGGAAAGACATTCACCATGTATGATTTTCCCTAAAAGGCTTAGAGAAGAACGTGCCTGAGTACCACCTGGAGGGGGCACCATTGAGCAGCTGCATGACCTGCTATAAGACGTCGTTCAACAGGTTAAAACTAATATGTTGATCTTTGAGAGTCTCCATGGATCAAGGCCAGCTGTGTGGTCTTGGCTCTGGCGAATATAGAAAGAAGAAACTGACATAAAATGACGCTGGCCACATCCCAGGCATATTTTCTTCAGTGAAAGCAAGAGAGATGTAATTCTCATTTTCATGTACTGCCATAATGTGTCAAGTAAAAGATTAATGGAGCCAACTTTATATTTTTGAGCCAATGTTATGACAAACTTTTCTAAAATATGAGTGTAGGATGTTTGGACAGAGATTCGATGTCACCGCTCGCCACGGGTCTGATTTTCCTTAAATGTGTCTCTGGTTCTTAATCCCCAGGGCAGATCAGATCTAAGGCCTGCAAGTGTAAGGAGAACTGGAAAGTTTCTTAATAAAGAATTTGCATTGAATGGTGTGTGGGTGGAGGGGAATTTTGATTCACTAAAGCCCTCCACTTGTGGCCTTTCTGTCAGAGCGGCGTTAAATAACTGGACACAGTTCACTAAATGCCAGAGCAAAAAGCTCTGGGCAAAGGGTCTCACAGGAGGGCAGTGTGACCAGGATCTGCCCTCACAGGACATGCAGACCAGATGTCTTTTTCTGGAGCCTCAAAGGGGGAAAGAAGGAGAAGGAACACATTCATTTGGTAACAGAGTGTCTCAAACTTGGATAAAGCAGAAAGAAGCATAGTCCATTTGTTGATTTCAGGCTGAATTGTGGAGGCAATAGGAAATGATGATTCCAGAAGTTTCCTCCAGTCAAACTGGGCCCAAACACTTGAGGTTCACTTGTTTCAGAGTTTGTTTTGTTGTTGTTGTTGTTGTTGTTTTTCAGGAGAAAAAAAAACACCCTTATTTTCTTTTATTATTGCAGTTGCTACTTATGTAACTTTGCACTCACCTGAAATGGTTTTGGACTTTGGTGGAGCCACCGATTAACAACCAAGCTGAGGATAAGTGGGGAAATCCCAGAGAAGTGTGAACTACTGTGATATTAAAGGTGTCACAATAACAAAAAGGTGCTTTTCAATCTGTCTCAAGCTCTGAAACATGACACTTGAGAGCTGTGGCTGTTGGTGGAAGTTTTCTCTCTGTTCTAAAGGTTGCTGAGAGTCTTGGGTAGCACATGGTCTGAGCTTCTGGGGTTATTCAAAGATTCCCATGCCCTTTCATAGATGAAGACAGAAAGTTACAAACTGCTTGAAGGGAAATAGGTATCTCACAAAACCCACCCTCTAAAAAGTCATTTCTCCTGTTCTGGCTTTTTTTACTCAGATGAACAGTGGGAGGATTGTGCATAAAAGAATCAAAGCCTTGGTGAACTCCCAACATTCAGCAGTTGCTTTAGAAATGAAGATGAGAGGGGGCAGCAGGGCAGGGAAACCAGGTTACTGGAAATGGAAACCACAGAATTAGCAGCGAGAATCTTCGGCGCTCTGCACTGTGAAGAATAGAGCCAACACTACTGAACAAGTAGACATTGTTGAATCGGAGCCTAAGGTGCTGTATAAACTTGCACTTAAAATACAATAAAATATTCTATTTTAAAAGAAAATAAAATGAAAATCTTTGTAAGTTGTTGTCTGAGGTAAATATCCTTGGGTGTAGGGGGAATGTGATATCTCAAGAGAAAATGAATGAATGAAAGAGAAAAGGGAGAAAGAGGGAGAGGGAGAGACAGAGAGAGAGAG